TTCGGGGCTCCCGTCGCCCCCCCCCCCGCAGACGGGCCTCGCTCGCACCGGCGTCGTCGCCCGACGCCGGTGTCATACCAATGAGCCGCCGTCAGCCGGAGACGGCCGCGCTAAATGGCCCGTGAAGCCCGCCCGGGGCCCTTGCGCGTCGTGTGAAACGGCCGCCGGATGAAAAACGAAAGCGGCGCGCACTGGGGACGGGCGGACGTCCAGGTTTTTTGGACAAATCAGCTGGCGCGCGCGCGGCCGTCGGCTAATTGGCGGGTTTCTCCGCGTCATGTGGCGCGCGCGGCCGGCGCTGACTGACTGGCGTCGGCCGTGGGCTGACTGACACTCACTTGTCGCGGCACTTGAAGTTGACGTCTCGCCTGCGCGCCCCGGCTGGCAGGCGTTCAGCAGCGGCACGCGCGCCGCGATCTGCCGTCGGTAGCGCCGTCGCCGTCGGCGGCGCTGGCGCGGCGGCAACGCCACCTGGTCGGAGCTGACGCGCTCGCTGTCGACGAACGTCACCTGGTCGATGTCCAGCCGGGACCAGGGCGTGAGCAGCGGCGTCGGCGGCGGCCGGCGGCGGCGCGCCGGCCGCCGCCGACGCCGGCCCCAGTCCCAGCCACTGAGCCAGCGGTGCTGGTACCGGCCGGGCTGCGCGGCGCGGCGCCCTGGCGGCGCGCGTACTGCGTCCGCTGGCCGGGCGGCGGCAGGTAGGTGTCGTGCAGCGTCGGAACGGTGGGCGGAGGCGCCGCCGCTGTCACCGCCGCCGCCGACCACCTCGCGCTCGGCCTCGGCCGTCGGCGCCTGGCGGCGCGCGGCCGCTGGACGCCGTCAGCTCGCTGGCCGGGAAGCACTTGGGCTCGAGCACGGTCGTGTCGAACGCCAGCAGGAAGTTGTAGTCTCCGCACGGCTGGAAACAAATGCCGGGTCGGACGCTGTTGGTGCGGGGCGCTGTATTGGTCGGTAATGGCCTGGAGCGGCTGTGGCGCCGTGCAGGTCCAGGTGCTGCCTGCTGCGCTGGTTTGAAGAGGGATGCCCCAAAGCCAGCGACGCAAACGTCGACATCACACGTTTCTATGGGCGCGTCTCGCACCCGCGAACGCTGACACCCGACGTTTCTGTAGGACGCTGTTCACACCCGGACGCAGCATCGATGCTTAGCGTGGTCGTGATGCCATTGTGTAATGCGGAATGGCATTGCACAGTGATGCGTCACAGTGTGCAAACTGAGGTTCGACGCGCTATCCTGAAGGCTCAGTGACGAACCAAAGGCAAGAAAACACCCGAGACCCGCCGCACTAGCCGTCCGATGCCGGTGCGCCTCTTAAAGCCCAGACCAACAACGGCCCTCGTGCGGCGTCCATCGCGCCGTGAGCCCGTTACTCACGTCTCCGAAGTTTTTGCACCAGCCGTCGAAGAGGACGGGCTTGTCGCGCGGACAGCGCGAGGGCGCGGCACTGCAGCCGGAAGGCGACGTTGAAGCGCAGCTGCTGGCTGTAGAGGCACACCTGGCTGCTGTAGACGGGCCGGCACGTGCCGAACGTGTCCAGGTACTGGCCGTCCGGACAGCCGCAGCGCGGCTCGCCGTACGCCGTCAGGTACACGCGCCGCGCGTCCTGGGGACGTGGCCGGCGCGCGCCACGTCAGCCAGTGGCGCGCACGCCGCTGCACCTCCCGCCGTTGGCGTTTGGTCACACGCATGTCAGGCTCACGGGGCATACGGCCGCGGGCGCTGCTGGCCGGCGGCGTGGGAACGGGCGTGGTGGCCGGGAGGTGCGGCGGGAGCGCCTCCGAGACCCATGTGGAGGCTCGGGACCCCGGTGGCCCCACGGCCGCCGGTCGCCGTCATGATCACCGTGGCGCTCCGTGAAAGGGCGCGCGGCGACGTGCGCGGCGTGTCAATAGGTGCGGGGGTCGCGCGCTCGCCGCGAGCCGCGGGCCCGCGGCGGCGCGGCGTCGACTTACCTGGACACAGGCCCTGCTCGTACACGTCGTGGCACAGGCCGTCGGCTTCGACGAAGGCGTACCCGTCCGGGCAGAGCTGGGTGGCGCACTCGCCCTGCGGCAGACGGGCGGGCGGAGCGTGGGTACCGGGCGGTGCCGGCTCAGGCCGGGCACGACGGCGGGGGACCGCAGACCAGGCCGGCGGTCCTGCGGCCCGGCCGTCGGCAACACATTCGGGTCAGCCGGATGCAAATGACTGGCGCTCCCGGACAGCTGTCGTTCAAGAGGGCTTCCGCGCCATCAGCGCCTCCGGCTGCTTGCGCAATGCCGTGCAAAAGTCGGGCGGAAAAGAAACGCGACGCGGCGTCCACTGCGGGAAGAAAGCCGCGCGGCGTGCTCTGGTTGCCGGCCTGAGGTCCCGCCGGTCTGTGGCGCGAGGCGGCGGCGGCGCCGCACCGGGTGTCACCTACCCTGCGCGTGTACATGTTGACGACCACCCACTGGCCGAGCGGGCAGTAGCCCTGCTCCAGGATGCGCTGACACGGCTGGTGCTGGTGGTAGGAGCGGTGTGTCGTCATCAGGCGCACCTCGTCGCGCGCGCAGCCGTCGTCTGGGTAGTCTTGACCTGAAACAGTGGCGCGTGCGCTCGGTCAGCCGCTGCAATTTGGAGGCGGTGTCAGCCCCGCTGGCCGGCCGCGGTGCCGCCGGCGCCGGCCCGGCGCGCCCGTCGGCTCCAGCGCAACATTCCGGATCGCGCACGCCATCGCGGAGAAACCCATCGGACGTGCTGTCTCGGCGTCGCGCCGCCTGACGGCGCCGTTGCAACACGACCGGCGGCGGCGGCCGTGGCTGACCGCTGACGCACAGACAAACGGGGCGCGCACGGCGGCCCCCTCTGGCGGCCCGCCAAACCCGTTACGGTGCCGCTGCGGTAAGCGGCTCGGGCCGTCGCGTCAGGGACGCGCGCGCGCCCGCCGTGCGCGACGCGCTCTGCCGGCTGTCCGGTGCAGCCGTGGTCGGCCCGGGCGGCTCTCGTCTCCCGCCGGCCTGTCCCCCAGGCCCCTGCCGGGCCGGCCGGGACCCGGACGGCCAGTTATCGGTGATGAGAGTGACCGGGAGTGGAGAGCGGCCGCCTCTGTGGGCCGCCGATAAGAAGAAACCTCTTAATTATTCATGTGCCGTCGTCGCCGAGCAGGCTCAGATAAAGGGATATACTTATAACTCGGCTGATGAACGCGATTGAGGACAGCGATCGGTTTAAGCGCCGGCCACCGGGTAACCGGGCGGCCGGGCCGTGCGCCGAGTTCCGTGCGCGCATTTGGGGCAGTCGTCCTCTTTTTGGGCGATCCGTCGCCGCTGTCGGCCGGCCGGAGAAACTGCCATATGTCGATTGTCCTCTTTTTGTCGGGCGAAAAGGGTCGGCGGGCCGTCCTCCCAGAGGGAGACATCTGCCGTGGCGATTGGGGAATTTAGGCGGCGCGGCAGGAGGCTGCGTTCTCGCTGTCTTGCTGCCGGCTGCCGGTGCTGCGGTGCGCAGCGGCGGCGGCGGCGGCGTCCGGCTCAGCGTCGCCGACCATCGTCAGGTGTGGCGATGACATTTCCCCGCCGCGGCGCGGCGGCGGCACCCCGAACGCCTCCGGCGAGCGCCGGCTGACCGCCTCCGGGCGAGCTGTCTGCTGGCGTCTGCCGCGCCGCACGGGGCGCGCCCGGAGCCGGCGGTCGGCAGGGAGCCGCGGGGACCGCGTCCCGTCCGCCGGCGCGGTTTACGTCGGCGGTGCGTGGGCTCGGCGCGGTCCGTGTGCGGTCTCACACGCTCATCTGCGGGCGGGCGGACCGGCGCCAGCGTCGGCCGCGCTGTTGACGAGCGCAGGCCGGCGCGAGGCGGGCCGCCCGGGGCGGCGGAGGCCGGACTCGGCGCGGTACCGTCTGCACCTGCACCCGGCGTTCCCCCGGCGACAGCCCTGAGAGCGGGTGAAACGGCCGGCGCGGCGGCGCTGGGAGTGTTCCGGCTCTCACCGGGCGGCGTCGGTGCCGGCTGCCCCGTCGACGTCCGTGTCCGGCCGAGCGCTGCCCAGCACCGCCCAGCGCCGCCGCCCCGCGCTCCGCGACAGAGCCGATCGGCGGGCGCTGCTTGTGAAACGACTGACGGACACGAGGCAGAACCGGGCCGTTGCGATAGCGCGCCGGCACGATCGCGAGTCACGCCGCGCGCCCTTGGCGCTCGCAGAGGAGCCCGCGCCCAATAGACCGTTGGCAGCTAATTAATGAATCGCGCAACGACGCCTCAGCGAATGAATATCCGCCACTGTCGGCGGTTATTCTCGCCGTCCGCGCGTGCTCTCTGCACGATTTGCTGCTAATCTGGCGCGCGACTTTAGAATGGTTTGTGCAGTATAGCGTGCGCCAGCGACCTTCCGCGGTGGACTTGCACTGTAATGTCCAAATCCGGTGGGAAAATGACTGTGAGGGAAAGTTGCAGCCCGAGGTGTCAACACGAGCGCTGAACAGCCGTTCATGTGTGGAGAACGAGCAGCGAGGGCTACTGATTTTGCAGCGGGGCGTGCCGTTGTGTTTACAGCTTATTCATTGTCGGTCATGGGGTCACGGCACTCCGAAAGTGCTGGGCTAACTGCCTCAGTCTGGTGTGTTATGCAAATTAATTAATGAGATGATGAGCCCCAGATCGGCTGGTTGGAACGGGGCCCGACACGGTTTGTGGTCTACTTTATTTCGCGGCGTGCGCAGCAGATTGGCCGCCGCTGTCCAAGGTGCTGCAAGTGCTTCAGAACGGGACATGTGCTGAAAGCAGGGTCTAATCGGTAGTGACTTGGTCATACCGCTGAGCAGCACGGGGCCTCAGCTGTTATCCAGACTTTTTACGGATGTTTTCAAGTTGATTTTTCACTCCTGGAGGTGCCGCCCGGGCCTAGTTTCATGAATAGAAACTGCGAACATACTGGTTTCTAGCTTGTGTAGGGTAGGCGTGTGGGCCGGAAGTAAGCCGATTTTCTGCTTAATCTCCGACTATTTAAATAAGTGATAAACAGGACATGCCGGTCTGACCAAGTTGCTTTTTGGTTCACGACTCCATTCTACACAAATGAAATGCGCGTGGATTGGCACCTCCGCTTTATGAAACTAGGCATCGGTTTCATTTTAGCAGGGCCCTTAGCACACGTGCCGCGGAAAGGCGACGAAAATCGGCCGCGTCGTCATGCCACAACAGGAGGCCAGGTCGTGGGGCCGCGTCACAACGTAGGCGGAGGCTGCGGGAACGGTGTCGGCGGGGCGTCCGAGTCGGGCCGGCGCGGCGGGCTGCTGCAGGCCGGGCACGCGCGGCGCGACGGCGTCCGCCGCCGGCCGACTGACCGGCCGACGGTCGCCGTCAAACAAAGAGAAACTCTGTGTGCCATTACGCCCGGTGACTTGCAGCCGTTGCAGCGGCCGAGGCGGCGTTGGGCGCCGGCGCCGGCGCCAGTGACCTCCGTGCGCGGCCGGACGCGGGAGGGAGTGGTGGGCCCGGCCACCCTCACCGAGCCCGCCCGCCCGCCGGCCGGGCTGCACGTGCACACACGGAACCGCGGCGGCTCCGCGAGCGCCGCGTCATTCGGCATGCGCCGATAGCATCGCTGCCCGGTGATTGACGACAGCGACGGATTACTGCCGACGTCGCCGTCCGAGACGGCGATGGCCGCAGTTGCCTGGGCGGGCGCGGTCGTTGCGTGTGCTCCGCGACGCGATCAGCGGGGTCGGATCGGCCGCGCGGCACTTACCTGTGACTGGGATGCTGTGAGGCAGCACCGGCAGCGAAACGTTGGCGGCGCCGGCGGCGCCCGCGTGGGGGGTGGGCACCTCGCGGCCACCGTTCGGTGAGCTCGCTTGCGCCTGCAGGAAGTCGATGAACGGCACGCCGTAGCCGAGCTGCAGCGACGGCAGCGCGCTGCCGCCTCCGCCTCCGCCTCCGCCTCCGCTTCCACCTCCATCTCCACCTCCACCTCCACCTCCACCTTTGCCGCCGCCGCCGACACTGCCTTCGTACGAGGAGGACGCGTACGAGTAGGCGCTGCCGCCGGCCAGTCGGTAGGCGCCGTACGTGTCGTTGGTGCGCGGCGGCAGCGGGACGGTATCGGCCGGCGTCGACGGCTGCCGCCCACCCAGCGTCGAGTAGGCGGCGCTGGGCGGGGACAGCGGCTTGGCGTCGGCCGCTGTCGGCGGCGGCGACCTGGTCACCAGCGCCGGCCGCGGCGGGTGGGCCCAGCCGGCTGGCCCGATCACGGCCAGCTGGTAGTCGTGCAGCGCGGCCGGCGTGTACGCCGGGGCGAGGAACGGGTGCTGCGGCGACAAGTGGTTGACGGGCCCGGCGCCGTACGGCCGGCCGTAGTGGCCCACGGAGGCGGCTCCCGATGCCTGCGTGGCGCGCGCCAGCAGCAGCAGCAGGATCAACAGCAGGCCGAGCGAGCCGAGTCCGCCGGCCGGCAGCAGGCAGCCGGCCCAGCCAGCCGACAGGCATCGGCCAGCCGCAAGCATCGCGCCCTCCGGCATCTCTCTCAGGCGCGCTGCCGGGACCGGCACCCGCGGCGCGCGCGCATCACTCGCCACCGGCGGCCGCGCGTGCGCTCCGGGCGGCGGCGGGAGGCGCGGCTCGTCACCCACGCTGCTTGCTCTCCCCGTCTCCGACCGCGGCGCGGGACGCGGCTGCTGCGCGGGTCCACCGGCTGCTCCTGCCGACAGAGACGCGCCCGGTCAGGGGGTCACGGGGTCGCGGAGCGGCCCGCTCCGCCGCCGCCTCGCCACCCCCGATTGAGAGCTCACCGCCGGAGAGCAGGGCGATTTGTCATCCTGGCTGATTACGGGTACCATCGCGGCGGGGGCCCTGTAATGGCACGTCACATGGTCGTCGGGCGGCGGTGGGTGGCAGCCGGCGTGCGGCGGCGGCGGGGCGCGGCGGGGGCGGCGCCGGGTCCCGCAGGAGAGCGAGGACGCGCCGCTGCTGTGTCATGGACGAGGAAGTGTTACCGCCCCAGACCGCGCCCTGGCCGCCGGCCGCGCCGCTGCAGGCCGATCAAGATGCGGCGCGTATTGCTGTACAACATTGCTCGGCATCACTGCCGCCGATCAAGGGCACCGGCCCCGGTGCTGCCCTTGAGAGCATGTGTCGCGGCCTCGCGGCGCCGGTGCGGCGCCGCCGGGTGCGCCGGCCCCGCCCGTGTCCCCACCGCCGGGCACCGTCCCCGACATCAGACGGGGGTGCGCGGGCGTGGCCACCAGAAGCCGACCGTCCCCGACCGGCGGGTGTGGCCGCTGCGGCCGCGCGACCTCCCGCCCTCTCGCCCTGCCCTCGTCGGCGGTCACTCCTGCGCTGAAGGATCGCTGGCCGCCGCCGCCGGTGGGCGAGTGCGAGCGAACCGGCCTTGTGCACGGAGTTGCCGGCGCGGGGGTGCATGGTGGACCGCGCGGCCTCGCCGCCGGTCCGACAGCTGTCCTAGCGGGCCGGCGGACGGCCTGCATTCCCCGCGGTGTGACGTCACGGCCGGGGCAGGGGCGGCCTGCACCGCAGGACCGCGGCGCTGATGTGTGGTAAGGAAACAGCGCCGGTGGCTGGGGCTGCCTGGCACCTGCCAAGCCGTGTGTGCTCTGCTGCAGACCCTTCCGCATCGGGCGCCGGTCGCTTCAGGTGGGGGATGAGTGGGGCTGTCGGCGTCTTGGAAGGACCTCGAGACAGGAAGGTCGGCGTGCGGTCCGCTGACCGTGCAGTCATGCGAAGTCAATCCATGTGCTGTCGCAAGGTCGCGTGCGGCCTGCCGGAAACGGGTGGACGCCTGTGGACGCCTGCCGGAGACGGGCGGACGCCTGTGGACGCCTGCCGGAGACGGGCGGATGCCTGTGGACACCTGCCGTGATCGTGCAGCCTGTCGCGCTCTCGCCACTCGACCGGCGGCGTGATGAGTGATGGGCGGCGAGCGCCACCGGACGCGCGGCACAGCGCTCCTGTGGTGGATCAGCGGTCGACGGGTTTGGCCAGGGAGAACATGCTCAGCGTGAGCAGTCCTGCCCCACCCGCCGACACGCTCTCTGCAAGCTGATATATTTGCAACCATCAATCCCAGCTTCATGCATTTTTTTCAAAAAAGCGTAGTTTTTTAAAGCTGCACCATGCAATTTGTAAGCATTTGCATGTCAGGTCTTTGGTGTGGCGTGTTTTTGGTGCATCGCTACAGGATAAACAAAACTTTGACGTGGGATCGACCACGGCTCAACATGGGAAACACAAACTGTGCAGATTGTGATAAGATCGGCAGACGGCGAAAATTTCGGCCGCCCGACGTTGCAGCGATACAGGACGAACTCCGATTGATGGAGGAGGGGGCCGCGCGGTCGCATGGGCAGGCGTTTTGGTCCATGTGTGGGGCTGGTCAGGTGCGCTGGAGTGCAAGCCGGGGATCCGGCCGTCTTTGGGCGGTACGAAGGATTTGTGCCAGGACAGATACAGGCGTACAGCTGTTTGTTATGGACTAGTTTATCTAATGATCGCTTGGAGGAGGTCTTAGCATTGTCCTTGACATAGGACCGGCAGACAGCCAGGAAATGGCCAACGGGGTTTTCTTCTGAGCTTATCTCGAATACCGTTCTGTGTGCCGAAGCTGAGAGAGATTGGTTCGTGAAGGCTATGCAGCCGTCTCACCCAGGCCATTGTGATCGGTGTCCACCCAATATTTATGCGTTTTTTTTCTTCAAGACGCTGGTTGCAGTCCCTGAAAACGACGATCGCTCAGAATTATGAATGTTGACTGAAATTACCGGGACCGGGCCGTCCCACGGGCAGCCAGTTCGATTATTTCAGCTGTGACCTGACGCCAGGGCGCTGCACTGTGAACCGCTATTTGTTAATCTGCAACGAAAAACGAAAACGGCGATACATTGTTATGGCCTGCTCGCATGACTTCCCCACGGTGTCTCGTTACCTCCGCGCGTGTTTGAGCATCACGCGCACGAACGTTACAGCCGTGGTTATCGCCTCGCTTGTGACACGCGACATCAGGTGTCTTGTCGGTAACATGATGCGGGCATTCCAGCACCGTTTCAGAACACGCGATGACGGGCGGTGTTAGGAAATCGTGCACATCTGGTGGCATTTCTGGAAACCGTACGGAGAGTTATCTCTTGCCATGAATTGTGGCCATTTGGTGTGGCTAGACGTAGTACTGTAATCTCCTGCATGTAACTGGCGGTTGTTACGGCTAAACCGAGTGCTGTGTGCGCTCATGCGATCACGTGCACCGCCATGTCGCCTGTCGCGTCCATTTGAGGTGCGGCACTGGCGGCAGTAAGCTGCGGCCAGCCGCCACGTGGGAGGATGGGAGCCGTCTCCTGTGTGAGCTCTGGCTCCTGATGGCGGACACCGCGCGCCGAGTCCTGTCCAGCTGACCGCCCGCACAGTGTTTATCGATGGGAGCACTCAGATATACAGACTTTACGGCCCTGCAGGCGACCTGCGCCGCACTGGCTACGGCTGAATGGAAAGGAATGCGCAGTCTTCGCTGACGTCACGCGCCAGGTCCGCACCACCATGTGTGTGGCGGTGGCGGTCCGCGCCATCTCACGCGGTCCTCCAGCTCGCCGCTGATGTCGCCATGATGTGTGCGGTATTGGGGTCTGTTTTTGCACCTAGTTATTCACCAAAGCTTGTACACTAAGCGCAGCTTTCGGTTTGGCCGGGTCACTTTCGAATTCCTCGCGGAGAACTCGTCGGTCCCGGGCGTTTAGGCTGTACGTGGGCAAATTTGATAGCACACGGGAAATGGCTGGATGCGGAGCGACAGTGCGCACACGCCCAGCCATATTCATGAGCAAGCTTTCGAAGATCATTGGTAGAAACCACATGAATGGCTGTCCAGCTGCCCTGAAATGGGCCGCCGCCGGCGACAGACGCCGGTGCCGCGAGCCGCGGTCCGGCCGGTGCCCGTCGCCGTGCCCGTTCTCCGCGAGGTGTTGCGGGGCGGGGCGGAGCGGCTGGCCCGGGCAACTACCTCCATCGTGCTCTGGTATGCTGATGGCGCGCTCGGCACATGCTCAGGGGGAAGCGGGCCGTGCAGCGCGCGCGCGCACCGGCAATTGGCGCTGCGGCGATCGGCGCCGCTCTGCGGTTGGGACGATGGAGGCAGTTGGGTTGGGACGCGTGGCGGGCGGCGGGCGCGGCGCGCGGCGCGCTCCGAGCCGGTCTGCATTGGTGCCGTCGCCTCCGGCGGAAGGACGGGATGGAGGACGCGGTGCACAGTTGGTGCTGTCCGCGCCCGACGGCTTTTGATCTGGGCTAGTGTGGAGGGGCTCGAGGGACAGCGGGTGGCCGGGCGCACATCGCCGGGTCCGGCTGGCAGGTACGGACGGCGCCGCCCGCCGCTCATTCTGCATCTCTGCGGACCGGCGCGCGCCGCCGCCTGCCGCTCCCGGGGACTCGACGTCGCCGGGGGACAGTGACGTCAAACTTCAGGAACGGGAGGTTCCAGTCATTGGTCGTTGGCCCGCCGGACTGACCCGCGCCCCCACCCATCGGCTCATCGTAGAACCCGGAGGATGGAGAACGTTCCCGGAACGCGAGTCCGGCTGGGAAAAGTTCCAAGGTGCCGTTCGAGATCCCTCGGGTTTCTCTACAGCCGGAAGCCTCTTTCCGGGTCTATCCATCCAATTTTGACTTTTATGGGCTGAGCTGATCGCATTGCAGTAACATCGCTTGCCGGTCATGCATGCACGAATGGATCATTGAAATAAAATGGACGAGGCCGGGTACAGAAGTAACGCAAGAAGTAATTACTATTTTTAAGCATGGTTATCTAAGCCCACATTGCGAACATCACGGTGAGCGTGTTTTGGCTAGACTTCGCGTGACTGGCTCCTCTCGGGTTCATTGTTCGACCCTTCACAATCCGCAGGGTTCATTGCGCCAGTGGGCGTACAGGTTTCTCAAGCGCAGAAATTGTAGTGTAATGTAGTTTGATAATATAACAGTCATTTCAGTGTCAGGCGCTGTCCGTGTGCGTTTAGACGACTGATGCCCGTCAGAAATCGTGTGTGCGCCGCGATGTTGCGAGGAGAAATACTACATGGACGGTACATTGAACGAGGAATAAAGCATAAGCGTGTTTCGAAACTCACGCTTACAATTGTCATGTACTTCGACGTGTCGCACTGCGAAATCAGCGGGATACTTTATTCAGTGTTGTGATTGCCACAATCGTCCCCGAAGTTCCATCAATATGCATGGCCAATCAATGTTTCGATGGCTGAACACCTATTTACCCGCTGACAGGTGGGAGCGCCTGTTTTCTACAGCGCTGCTGCAGGACACTTGCCATTCATCATTGTGAAAAGTCATACTGGTTGTGATCGTTGGCGTGGAGCTGGTGCACGCGCCTGACGGTGGCACCCGCTTCACCCACCCACCTGTTCAGCGGAGGCAGCAGACGCGTTCGGACACGGGGACACGGCTGGACGGGTCGGTGAGGCTGGCATGGTTATTGGCGCGCGGCACGTTCTCTGGCATGATGCAAGGGTCTTCTGGGATTGTGGAAAGCTGAGTGATTGCTCGAAACGGGTGAACATGAACGTGGACACCTGGGAGTGTCTAAAATTGCACTGAAGCGGGCGTAGCGTGCGCACAGTGGTGTGTCAGAGCTAGAAGTTTGGGCGGCGGCCACCGTCGGCCGGCTCACCGTTCACGCCCCTTTTACCTTTTCTTGGAAAATGAGACGGGTTTTATGACGTGAGGCGGAGATCAAAACTGTTGTTCAGCTAACGAAAGGCTTGTCAGAAATCGACAAAAGCCGTTGCTGTTCGTGAGCCGGTGCGTCATGAACTGATTGGTTCCCGATTTCTAAGGTGACTGGATCTGGCATCGCTGTTGACAATTTGCCGCTTGCATAACCGCAAAAAAGTACATTCGCTGCCCCGTCATAAGCCCTTGTGGTCACTAACGGGAGAAATCTTCATAAATCAACGAGGCCTTATTGATGTTTGGGTGTAGATTGAATGTTCCTTTTGGGGGGGAGAATCCATTTTATTGCTGTTCATTAGTACCATCAATGTGCCGTTGATTTGGCCTGATTTATGCTTGCTCAGTCATCGACCTCATCAGATCGGTATCTGGGATCAGTACTGGCTGCCGGCGTGTTGAGTTTGACAACCAGTTATGCCATAATTGCGTCATTGAAATGTGTGCCGACAGCTGGGAAGTAGCTGGCGATGTCCGCTCCACAAAAACAACTTAATAAGGTCTGAGAGGGATGATTAAATAACCACCGTAGACTTTGATACGAAGTTGCGAGAATCGCATGTCTCTGCTTGTCATGAGGCCTTACTTGGCAACTTGGTCTTCGGGGCCCGTAACGTTTGGCTGATGGAAATGCATGTACAAAATATGAAGACCTTGACTCCCCCCCCCCCCCCACA